CTGGGCCTCCCTGTGACTACACTGTACACTTCACCCTAACGGCCACAGTAGCCCTGTGAGGTGGGTCTCGTTATATCCATTGCACAGATGAAGGAACTGAGGCTTGGATAAGTATGTTTCTCCAGCTCAAAGTGGCAGAGCCAGGATTTGAACCAGGCTTGTCTGTGTCTAAAGCCCATGCTTTGCTCAGCTCACCCTGCTGCTTCTCATTCTCTTTCCACTCCAGGGAGAAGCAAAGACATTGTCTCCAACAAGGTGACCCTCTTACCTGGGAGAAAAATCTGTTAAGCAGTTCTCTTCTGCATCCCTGAGTTATATAAGGACATGGGGGGGGGGTGCCCTCAGGGGCCCAAGACAGTCCCAAGACGCTTAGGAAGAGGCAGACCAACTGCCACCCTTTCTCCCAGGCCTCCTCCACTGCTCCGCCAGGCTGCAGATTCCAGGCCCAAGGGGGAAGGGGGATTTTCCAAAATAGAACAACAGGCCTCAGCAGGCCTGCACCCCATGGCTCCCAGAGCTCAGCGAAATTGTGTAAATACTCACACTCAACTCTCCCTGAACTTTTTTCCTTTTTAATTGGCTTCCTGGTTTTCTCAACTGCATATGCCAAGTCATTTGGAAACCTGATGCACCCATCTGCTTCTAGCACCCGCCCGCTGCTAGGCTCTGAGTGAGATTCTGAAGTCTGCTCAGCATGTCAGCACGCTCCAGATTTCGGGGGTGTGCAGGGGGCGATGGCAATGGAAATGAGCACCCCCCAGGGACATCTCAGCCCAAAGCTGCTGGGGCCCTCCCTCCATCCCTGTCCTGCCAGGGTTTCCCTGCTCTGACTGGCTGCTCCTGACCTGGGTTTGCTGTGTTCTGCCTCCTCCAAGTGGTAAATTCTTGAACGCTGAGCTGAAGGTTTCCCCCGAATCCCGCAGAGCACAAGAGAGACTAGACTCTCTTCTCTGGCCCCCACATACTCCCTGAGCCTAAAGGCGGAGGCACTCCCCAACCCAGCCCCTCCCTGGCCACCCACACTCTACCCCTGAATGAGCCCATCCATGGGCAGCTGTGGAGTCAGGAAGACCTGAGTCCCAACCTTGCTACTACTTCTCAGTGTCCTCATCTGTGCTGGAATAGTCCCTCCCCTCCCCATCCCTGTCCAATACCCCTGGAGTACTGGAGTGCCGGTTAAATGAAATAGCTAGAAAGAGCCTCCTCTAATGGCTGGCATCTAGTGGGTGCTTCAGAACCCAATAAATGTGAGTTATTTTTATTATAAGTCCCCCCAAAATACCCTGCTGTTCCTCACCTCCATGCCCCTGCCCACTAGGCTCCCTCTTCCTGGACTGCCCTGCCCAATCTGGTTGACCTGGCAAATATCTATCTACCTTTCATAACTCAGCTCAAACTATCCTCCCACAAAAGCCTCTTCTAAACCCAAACGTCCAGGCCCAGGTGTTAGAACAGAGCACCCCTGTCCACACACTCCCTACCCCGGCACCGGCTCCCTCCCCAGCCCTGATGCTCCCACCTATCTCCCCACTGCCTGGGAACTCTGCCGGAGCAGGAGCACGAGAAGGACTAGGGTCTCATTCCCCTCCTGGCCCAGCACAGGGCTTGGCACAGAGCAGACACTAAAGGAAACAACAGTAATTACAGCTGGCCTTTGCAGAGAGCTGACTACACATGCCTCTTCTTGTACTAGCCTCCCAACTCTCTGACAGAGGTTTTATTATCATTCTCATTTTACAGATGAGGAAATGGAAAAGCAGCATGGTTAAGTAACTTTTCCAAGGTCAAAGGCCTAGAGGCAGACTTGGGATTTGAACTCAGGGCTCTCTGACTACGGAGTGCATGCTCTTAACCATTCCAGGTAAAAGAAGGAACAAGGAGGAAGAACAGCCACAAGGATGTGAGCTGAACCCCAGAAGGCACAGACCCTGCAAGTATCAGGGATGCTGGTCTTCGGGACACAGAACGGAATACGACCCTGCTCGTGCCTCATATGAGAAACTTCATACTACTGGTTTCAAGACAGAACCAACCCTACCCTCTGGACAGCAGAGCATTTCTAACGAGCTCCCAGGTAATGCCGATGCTGCCACCAACCGCCCTTTGGATACTGAGGGTCGAAGATAATGCTTATCAAAGTGTGGTCTCTCATCATCAGCTGCAAGTGGGAGCTTATGAGAAATGCAAGTTCTGGGGCGCCTGGGTGGCTCAGTCGTTAAGCATCTGCCTTCAGCTCAGGTCATGATCCCAGGGTCCTGGGATCGAGCCCGGCGTCGGGCTCCCTGCTCTGCGGGAAGCCTGCTTCTCCCTCTCCCACTCCCCCTGCTTCTGTTCCCTCTCTTGCTGTGTCTCTCTGTGTCAAAGAAATAAATAAAATCTTTAAAAAAAAAAAAAGAAAGAAAGAAAGAAAGAAATGCACCTGGGTGGCTCAGTTGGCTAAGCGTCCGACTCTTTATTTTGGCTCAGGTCATGATCTTGGGGTCATGGGACTGGGCCTCACCAGCAGGCTCCATGCTCAGCACAGAGTCTGCTTGAGATTCTCTCTCGTCTTCCTCTGCCCACCCCCACCCCCCCACCGGCCCTGGCTCGTGCTCTCTAAATAAATAAATACATAAATACGTAAATTTTTTTAAACGATTTTATTTATTTGTCAGAGAGAGAGCACAAGCAGGTGGTGCAGCAGACAGAGGGAGACGCAGGCTCCCCACTGAGCAGGGAGCCCGATGCGGGACTTGATCCCAGGACCTGGGGATCATGAACTGAGCCAAAGGCAGACACTTAACCGAATGAGCCACTCAGGCATCCCAATAAATAAAATGTTAAAAGAAAAAAAGAAAGAAGTGCAGGTTCTGGGGCGCCTGGGGGGCTCAGTCAGTTCAGCATCCAACACTTGGTTTCAGCTCAGGTCATGATCTCATTTTCATGGGTTGTGGGATGGAGCCCGGCATCCAGCTCCACCCTCAGCGGGGAGTCTGCTTGAAGATTCTCTCCCTCTGCCTCTCCCCCCACATGTTCTTTCTCTCTCTCAAATATTAAATAAATCTTAAAAAAAGAAAAGAAAGAAGAGAAGAGAAAAGAAAAGAAAAGAAATGCAAGTTCTTGGGCCAGCCCAGACAGAAACCCTGGGGTTACACCCAGCAGTCTGAGTGTTAGGAGCCCTCCAAAGGACTAAAATGCATTAAATATGAGAACCTACCAGTCTTGCATACATTTTTTAAGGCCCAGCCCTACCCTTTGAGCATTAGCTCAAAGCACACACGGAAGTGAGTGCGGTGATGTGGGCCAGCCCTGAGAAGTGAACCAGTGGCCCTGGGATCAGCCCTGGCTCTGTCCTTGCTTAGCTCTGTGACCCAGGGCAGGTCCCCACTCTGTCTGAGCCTCAGAGCCCTCAAAGCAAGGATGCTGGGAGCTGCCCTCCCGCGGTAGATGATGTCCTTGATACTGTATCATTCTGTTCCAATCCCCATGCCTATGCCTACAGTTCTCCATCACAAAGACTCAACACCAGTGCAGTTTCTTGTCATAATTCTTGACATAATTCAAATGTTCCTTAAAGCCACAGAGGTTCCACTAGAGGAACCACAATAGTGACACTCCTATGTTGGAAGGACAGGGTTGGGGGGGGAGCATGCAGATGAATGAATGATTTAGCTGCCAGGAAGGAGTTTCTAGAAAATAGAGTAGAATGCAGTCAAACTGGTAAACAAGAGAGTATCATCTCTCTGCCGTTAATACCACTCCCCAACACCTCTCTGTCTTTACATCCTTCTACCGGCAGAGACGCAGAGCTGATGTGGGATGACGACCAGTGCCAACATCTAGATAATGAGATTGGAGGTACTTCCCGGCTCTCCTCTCTAAGCTTTCCTGTACTATGTAAATTTTGTATAAAAAACATGTATTATTTTTTCATCAAACAATAAAAATCATTACTTAAGAAACAGCATGATAAGCATATTATTTATCAATGCAGGAGGAAACGTGAGAAGAGTTAGAAGTGTCGTCACTAGAAGCAGATGGAGAAAGAAGGTGGTGGGAGCAGAGGAGGCGTGTGTGTGTGTTCTTTTGGTTTAAAAAAAAAGAAGTATGAAAAACACGAAGAACTTCTGACACCTGCTACAACATGGATGAACCTTGAGGACATGATGCTGAGTGAAATACACCAGACACCAAAGCGCAAATGACTACACTTACATGAGGTCCCCAGAGCGGTCAAAATCAGAGACAAAAAGCAGAATGGAGGTTACCAGGGGCTGGGGCTCAGGCTGGGGGTTAGTGTTTAATGGGGATGGTGTTTCAGTTTGGGATGATGGAAAGTTTCTGGAGATGGATGGTGGTGATGGTTGCCTGACAACATGAATGTACTTAATGCCCTGGAACTGTGCACTTCAAATCTAGATGATAAATTTTATGTTATATGTACTTTACCACAATTTTTTTTAAAAAGCTCAAGGAGAGAAGAGACATGAAAACAAAAAAGGTGTGTTTTGATATATACGTCTCGATATACTATTTTCTATCTGCGAATGGAAGCGGACTTGTCCCTCTGTCCGTCACACTCACTCAAATTCTCTCCATTGGAAGCAGGAGCAAAAGGGCACAGACCAGCGCCTCCCACGGCGCATGCCAGCCTCATGGGCAGGATCACTGTGTGGCGAGGGGCTGCCCTGCACTCTGCAGGACATCGAGCGTCCCTCGCCTTTATATACCAGATGCCAGGAGTCTCCCCTGCCCCTAGCTGTGGCAACCAAAGATGGCTCTAGACATTGCCAAACATCCCTGGGGGACAAAATCACCCTCAGTTGAGAACTAGTGGGTCAGAATGAGCCAATGGTTATGGTCTGCGTTCTGTGGCCCAGGACAGGTAAGACACCCTGGGCCACCATAAGAGTGAAGATCCCACCCACATCCCCTCCTGCCCACAGAGGCCGGGCTAACAACCCCCAGGCAGACACTGTGGGGGTCTGCCTTCCCATCTTCCCCCCACAGACACCCCTTACCCAGCCTGATGTCTCCCTCGAGGGTCATCAATACGTTGCCAGCTTTCAGATCCCTGTGGATGATCTTCTTGCCGTGCAGAAAGTTGAGGGCTTCCAGCATCTGGCGGCAAACCACTTGAATCTGGGGCTCCGTGAGGCCTCTGTCTAGCTCTGGAAACAGAGGAGAACCACTGTCAAGTCAGCACACACTCACTGCATTCAGGCAGGCTGAATGTCAGGCTCATGCCAGGTACAAGAAATACAAAAGCCCCCAACATCCCTGAGCACTTACCATCTACCAAGTTCACTTCCAAGCACTTTCCATGTTACCTATTTTGTCCTCATACTAACACTATGGAACAGGCACAGTTATTACCTCAGCTGACAGATGAAGAAGCCAAGGTTGAGAGGTCAGCCCACCTGCTCAAGGTCACACAGGTAGAAATTCACAGATCTTAGATCCAAGCCAGCCAGTCTGTCTCAGAGCTCAGGTTCATAAACAAAACCCCTCCAAGAGGCCAAGACCCATTCTGCAAGCAGGCAATGGGTGACATTCACTCCATGTCAGGCTCCACGCTTGCTGCAGGGACACGGAGAGGGGCACGGAAACGGCAATCCATGCTCGGAATAGAGTGGGATTTGGGTGGGGGCTGGGAGCGGGCAGGATGGGCAGCAAGCCCTTCTGCCTAGGAATTAGCAGGCTCCCCAGAAGGGCATTCAAGCTGTGTCTTGTAGGAAGAACAGGTGTTTGAGAGGCGAAAAGTGGGACAGGGCATTCCAAGTTATTCCAGGGCATTCTAGTCAAGGAAGCAACAGAAGCAGAGGTGTGGAGGCTGACACGGGCTGGTGTTGAAGCAATGTGTGCTGGCTGGTAGTAGAGCTGGAAGGTGAAGGGCTAGTGGGAGGCTGTCATCAAGAGTCTCTGTGTGCTGGTCAGGGAGACACACGCACGCTGGTACATCCCAGTGTCTGCTTACAGATGGCGGGGCCCCTCTCTGAGCAGGTGGTGGGGGCAGCACAAAGGAGTTTTCTACACAGGGGGTACCGCATGTGCAAAGGACCCTTTTTGACTGAAGGGGAAGGATGAGGGGAAAGCGAATTGAGGTCAGAGGTCAGAGGTCGGAAGGGCCTGATCGTGCAGGACCTCGCAGGCCATCTATGAAGGCTACACTTTCTCTGAAACGCAGTGGGCAGTCCAGGAGAGGCTCGAAGCAGGCAGAGACAATCTGACTTTTGCATTTAAGAAATTCTCCCTAGCAGGGTGAGTGAAGAGCCTGCAGGGGAGCAAAAGAAGACAGGGAGCTCGGCCGGGGGCTGTCACAGTGGTCCGGGCCAGGGCTTCAGAGAGGAAACATTCCCGACCCAAAGGCTGATTTCTCACGACAGAACGTGAGACTGAGTGGGTGGAGAGGGAGGGGGGGGCATGAGAAGATTCAAGGTCAACATCCTGTGCTCACTGACCCACTGGCCATTGTGACCGTTTAGTGCTTGTTGCCACCAAGCCACCTGTGCCGAAGTGAGCCCCCACTGCCCTGCCTGCAGGGTCCTCGCCGCGGGGTCCTCAGGTGCAGGCTCCAGGGCCAGCCGGCCAGGGTGCTGCTGCCAGGCCTCCCTCTGACTAGGGCAGCACCCCCCATCCGTCTCCCCACTCCGCCACGCCAGGCCAGAAATCCTCAAGGACGGATCCCGCAGGCTTGGGGAAAATGCACCAGACGGGGTGGAAGAGCCAGCAGCATTTTTTTTTTTTTTAAAGATTTTATTTATTTTGAGAGAGAGAGAGACAATGAGAGAGGGAACACAAGCAGGGGGAGTGGAGAGGGAGAAGCAGGCTTCCCGCTGAGCAGGGAGCCCGATGCGGGGCTCGATCCCAGGACCCTGGGATCACGACCTGAGCCGAAGGCAGATGCTTAATGACTGAGCCACCCAGGCGCCCCTGGAAGAGCCAGCGGCATTGCCCTGGGAAGCCTGGCCCCAGACTGACCACGGGTCCCTCTCTGGGGTCTCCAGCCCCTACCGCTCCCTGTGGCCTCATCCTTAACGCTCGTGTCCCCCCAAACCACAGACAGACTCAGAGCCATAGGGGGGTGGGCATCAGGACCACCCAGACTGAGCCTGAACCGAGGCGCTGCCCCGTATTAGCGATGTGCTTTCTTGAAGGTGCTCCATCTGTCTGTGCCTTCATCTCCGAATCCATAGAATGGGATGATGACAAGCGATGTAGGCAGGGCTCCAGCCATAAATTCACTCCTGGCTGAGTTCACTCCTCAGCATGAAGGACAGTCAATAAAAGGTGATTATTGTTATGCTGGTTCTGAGATTATGCTGGATTATCCACAGCAATTTTTTTAAATGTCAAAATGGGACTTGCTCATATCCGATCTCTCTAGATAAACGAAATCAGAATAAGCAAAGTGGTGATGATGATGATGGTGATGGTGGTAATCTCATGGTCACCATTTTCTGAGCCTTTACCAATGTACCTGGCATGGAGTTAGGGACTTGGATGCATTCTTTCATTTAATCTTCACAATAACCCAATAAGGTAGAGAGACCTTTTTTAAGCCCAATTTATTGCGATATAATTTATCAACAGTAAAATTCATTTTTGTTTAGATACACAATTCTACCAATTTGGACAAGCATATATAGTCATGTAATCACCACCACGATTCAGCTAGAGAATGTTCCATCACTCCCCCAAATCTGTGTGTGATCAACATTTCACCCCCATCTCCAGCCCCTAAGCTATCATTACTTTGATTTCTGTCCCCATTGTCTTGCCTTCTCTAGAATGTCATATAACTGGAATCATACAGTATGATAAATTCTTAAGATTAATTTTTGATTACACAGCAATACCTGAATATTTTATTCATATTAAAAAAATCTGCAACATTGCAGATGAGTCCTACGTCTGTTTGAAACCGTAGCCAGTCCCACCCCACCCCCCTCCTCTGCAGGAGGGCTGAGAGCCAAGTGTTTTAAGAGCTGGCAAAGCAAGGCCAACCGGATCAGAGCAAACACTGGCTGTTAACTAACTAGAGTAAAATGCGGTGCATATTGCCCTCATCTCACAAAGAGGCCAGCCCAGCACCCCACAGCTACCCCGCAGAGGAACCTAGAACAGACCTCAGGTCTCTTGGACCCCACGTCCAGGCTCGCCACTCTATGTGACTCCACAGGGTGATGGGGAGATGCTAAGGGGAGAAAGTCCCTCTAAGCAGGGCAGGCATCTGTGGGAGAATCCACCCCTCATCACGCAGCTGCAACCAGGGCCAGGTCTCACTTTGTCAGGTCTCCCCATCCCACCTTCACATCTGGAATGGTGACGGCAATGTTCCTTTAACTGCTGCCACCAGCAGGGAGAAAACCACCTGGGGCTGGAGCAGTCAGATCCACCAGGAGGACTGAGATACGGAGTGAGTCGGCCTGCAGGCTGAGCCACAGCCTGGGGTCCTGCCCCAGTTATGAATGAGGTCAAGGACTTGGTATGTATAAACGCCTCTTCCATCTCTGACATTCTCCTGCAGGCCTCAGCGAGCTAAGCTCACACCTGGAGAGGCAGAAGCTGGTAGGTGGCTCCCACTCGCCCCTACTTTTTTAGTATCTGAGCACACGGCCACCCAGCAAGAAGACCACATTTCCCAGCCTCTCTTCCAGCTATGTGCTATTATGATCTGGCCAATGAGATGTAAATGAAAGTGTCATGTGGGGATTCTGTAACAGCTCCTTTAAAAAGTGGAAATGGGGTGTGCGTTTGTCAAGTTGTCCTACCCTCCCTTCTTCTATCCTGCTGTTTGGAATACAGATATGATTGCTGGAGCTCCTACAGCCACCTTGTCACTGTGAATAGAAAGCCAGCGGGAGAATGGGACCAACACAGAGGAAAGTGGGACCAAGAGTTGGAGAAGGAAACCAAGGTCTTAGGAGAACATAAAAATAAATAAATAAATAAACAAACAAATAAACAAACAAACAAAAAAACCTCCCAGATCAAGCTGTGCCTGAAGCCGGGAACCACTGAACTTTTTAGTTATTTGTGCAAATAAATTGCCCCTCCCACATCTCCCACCTTTTTTTCCCCACTAAACCAACTTAAACAGTCTTTGATCACCTTGTAACCTAGAGAATCTCAACTCATACGAGACCACCATTTTTATTTTGTTAAATTCTACCCAGAACAAGGAAAATCTTCAAAGGTAGTCTGTGCTGAGAGAAGGAAGACCCAAGGGCCATAGCATAAGTACTCACATCCAGTCACCTACTGTCATTTCTCCATCTGAGCACCCTGTGGTAAGGTGCTATGCAAGAAAGGCCAGCATTTCCATAGATATGGAAAGGGCTGCCACAAACTCAGCAGATTCCTGAGATAAACTCAGGGGGAAAGTGCCTTCCTCACAGTGGAAGAGGAGCTGGATGGTGCTACATTATACTGGAAACCTCCCCTCTCCTGAGCCGTCCCACAACCCTGGGCCTGCCTCGCAATATTCTGGGGCCCCAGACCCCCGGCCTCTCTTCACTCACTGCCCACCAGACTGGCAAGACCCAGGCACCCTTCTGTCCTGCTGTGGGACACTCGGCCAGCCCCTTAGCCCCTCTAAAGTCTCAATCTGGTCAGGAATAAAACAGAAATACTCAGATAAGATACACAAAAGTACCTACCCCAATCTCTGACATACAGTGACTAGTCACAAAATATTCACAAAAGTGATTTTCTTTTTTTTTTTTTTTTACTGTCCAAGCTTGTCTGGGATATCAAAACCTGGTAACATCCCCATTAAGCTCTTACAAAATGGGTGTGGGGATCCCCACTTTTCAAAGAACCTCCCCCAGGTGTCTCATTTTCACCTCCTAAGTGTGCTGTGGGGTGGGGCAAAGGAGGCATCATACCCATCTTATGGCCACCGAGGCTTGAGGGGGTGAGTGACCAGCTCAAGGACACATGGCTTTTTGAACAGGAAGTGTTGGTTTTCTAATGAGTGCCTGCATTCTCTCCAAGAACCCAGCCCCTGCTCCCGAAAGGGGACAGAGCAAAAAGGTACTCAAACAGGCCACGTGAATTGCTGAGGCGGAGGGAGTAAAGGGCACCAGTCCTAGCCTAGGGCCCTAGAGCCCACCCCAGCACCACCACAACGGATCAAGGAAGACTCACCCAGCATGATGGCGTCCACAGCTCCTCCAGGACAGAACTCGATCATGATCTGCAGAAAACACAAGGCAAAGTAACAATGAGCAGGGGTGCACAGCCCAGGACCCGGCCCTGGTCCTGGCAGGATCAGCCGGCACCCAGTGCCCGGGCTCCCCGGCCTCTCCTCCTCCTGCCCCAGGGCCTGTCCAGTCTGCACTACCATAATCGGACCCCAACCCTCACAGGAGGCTCTAAAATCCAGAAGGGTTGCTGGGCATTTTTCAGCGGAAAAAAGAAAGTTGCCATGGAAACCCACAGCTGCCGCCAACAGCTTTGCCACCAGGCCTGCACCTTCCCTGCTCCTCGGTCTGCCCCCTCCTGTGCCCCCACCTGCCAACTGCCCCTCCCTAAGCTTCCCAGCCAGCAGTCCCAGCAGCCCCTCTGCCCGCATACAAGCCGGCCATGCCCTTGCCGAATCCCAGCACCCATCTCTTGCCTCTCTCCGTCTTCTAGAGGCCAGGGCCCTCGCCGGCTTGGAACACCAAAACATCGGCGCCCTGAAGACCAGCTCAGGTGTAGAAACCCAGAAACGGGATGGGGCTGACCAACGCCACAGATGATTTAGTGGCAGGTCCTGCACTAGAAAGGTTTCCTAACTCCCCAGCTCATTCATTTACACATGCATTCATTCATTCATTCATCACACACCCAGGAGGTAGCGGGCCCAGGCCCTCAAGGGGCTCCCAGCCCAGCACAGGGGCCAGAGAAGGACAAGAAGACTGTGAAGTGCCATTGGTGCCGACCCAGGCCCTCCCTCTCTGGCTCTCTCCCATCCTCGCTCTTTTTCTGGGCTCCTAGCGCATGTGCAAAGATGCTGTATTTTCCTGAAATTACGGAAGCAAGTAGGTGGGGACGGGGCAGAGCCTCACAGACTGTAGCAGATGTTCCTGAAATCTCCTCCCGGCTCCCAGCACCTGGCCCTGCTTGTGGCAAAGTCCCTCCAGCTCAGCTTGGCAGAGGCAGGCACCAGGCCGTGGGGCCCATCATTCTCGTAAATGGAAAAGAAAACTGCTGCCATGACCCGCTGGGCCAGAGCTGCTCTCCAGCCAGAGGAGGGAGGACAGGCCTCAGTGTTTCCATGAGTCTCCAGCTTGTGGTAGACCTTCCAGAGACTTCTCGTCAATGTACATATAAGGATGCAGTGATGCAGGGCTGGACCCAGGTCCCTGGCCCACTGTTCACTAGCTATGGCCTTGGGACACTAGAGGTACTAGATACTGGGGCTACCATACCCTGAAGTCCCCCCAAACCCAGGTCAGGAGCCCCCGCTCTGCCTCTCCAGCTGTAAAATGGGAGAATACTAGGGACCACCCAGAGTTACAGTAAGGACTGGATGAGGTGGTGTTTACAAAACAACAGGCCCAACTCCGCCCACACAGTGAACACAGGGCAGGCTCAGGCACTTCCCCCTTCTCAAACAGCCTGTGGTTCAAAAGGATTTGAATTCAAGTCCTGATACTGCCACTTAATTGGCTATGTGACCTTGAGTAAGTCACTGAATCACCCCAAGCCTCGATTTCATCTGCAAAATGGCACTAATCACCTCTACCTCCAACTCAAGGCAGTTAAATGAGATTCTCAACATGAAAGTGCAATAACCAAGCCACACCAATTAACATGCTCCTGTTGGATCTCTCGCAAATAAAACCACCAGCCAGTGTCACACTCAGACCATGTTATTCAGGCTTCCCACAAATCTATGCCTTCCTAGAACTACAGTTCATCAACACACCCGCTGTTATCATCAAGACTCAGTGCGAGATGTGGCCAGACCCAGGCAGTTCCTGCATTTGTCAGTGAAGTTGTCCCTTACACAATACCCTTGCACAAGGTCTCTATGACCATCCTCTCCAGAGTTCAGCACCAGGAAAGCTTGAGCATCCTGCCAATCTGGTTTGCTTCCTCTTCTGCAATTCAAGATCTCCATGACCCCATGCACTTCCCTTTTGTAATTTTTTAAAATTTACTGATTGATTGATTGATTGCCTGATTGCTTTGGCTGCTGGGAAGCTCTGAGCTTATCTTTGGTTTTATTCCCAGGAATACATGTACCAACTTTCGGCTCCACGCCAGGATTAAACCCACAATATTTCACAACTTGCATATGGACCCCAATAAAACTTTCAGCTCCATGCCAGGATTAAACCCACAATATTTCACAACTTGCATATGGACCCCAATAAAGTGTTTTTAAAAGATGACCATCCGGGGCGCCTGGGTGGCTCAGATGGTTAAGCATCTGCCTTCGGCTCGGGTCATGACTCCAGGGTCCTGGAATCGAGCCCCATGTCCAGCTCCTGGCTCAGAGGGGAGCCTGCTTCTCCCTCTGCCTCTCCCCCTGCTTGTGCTCTCTCTTTCTCTCTCTGTATCTCTGTGTCTCGAATGAATAAATAAAATCTTAAAAAAAAAAAAAAAAAGGACAACCATCCTGCAGAAGTCTGAAGAAACAGCACTCTTTGGTATTAATCACGCATGTGTTAGAGTGATATCCCATTAACCTTTGTGTAAATACTGCCTGACTATCCTCTCACATAGAGCAAAATATGGTTTGGGTTTTCTTCCCCCACGCCTTTTTCCTCCCATCCTTTCGGCTTTAAAAATTTCACATCTTAGTGCCTTAATGTGATACCAAAAAAAAAAAAAAAAAAAGTCCCTTCCATAACATAGCTGTTACTAGGTTCCATTATATGGATCTTAACGCTCTACCTTTCAGCTTGTCAGTGGCAGGGTTGCAGGGGACTTCTACATAAATGCATGGGGTTGGGGGCGCCTGGGTGGCTCAGTCATTAAGCGTCTGCCTTCAGCTCAGGTCATGATCCCGGAGTCCCGGGATTGAGCCCCACGCTGGGCTCCCTGCTCAGCGGGGAGCCTGCTTCTCCCTCTCCTTCCCTGCTCTCCCTCTCCCTCTCTCTCAAATAAACAGATAAAATCTTTAATAAAAAGAAATGCACAGGCTTTACTTAACAAAATAATCTCAATTAATAAAATAATAATAAATAAAAATAAAATAAGCATCTCACGACCTTAGGAAGTCACTAAACATACATGCTTAGAAAACAGAATGGGAGCACATACGGGAATACCCAGGGAAGGATTACAGGTAGTCTATACTTGTATATATGTTCCACATTTTAATCAACAAATAGGAGTTATAAAAATATTAGAAGTGAACTTTTTTTTTAATGGTAAGAACTGGCCTAAAATAACCCCTGGCTATAGATGCATCTATTCAACTGCAGGGGGATAGGGTATCTATAGGCCTGTTCACAATTAAAGCCCCAGCAGGCCTGTGCTCACTGTGTCCGGGGATGATAAAAGGCTCCTCAGGATCAAGGGTTCCTGGGTGCAAAGCTCAAGGCCTCTAAGCCCTCACCAAGCCCCAAATCCAACAGCTGCAAGTACCAAGGACCAACTCCTTGACACCAGCAGAAATTCATCCTTCATGCTCCCTTGAGAGCAGCAAGCCACTTGGGGCTCAGGGTTTTCTCAGGACCTGGAGAAGTGAGGTTTGAGATCAGTTTAATCCATCAACAAGTACCAACCGAGGGTCCACCAGGGGCTCCACAGTGCTAGGCACAGCAGGGCCAGAAAAGTCATATTCAATCAACAAACACTATCTGAGCTCTGTCTATAACAAACCTGGGGACTGGGGACCCAGGATGAACCAGACAGGTCCCTGCCCCAAGACCACAGGCAGAGGCCAATACAGGCACATCGTGACTGTGTTACCTAAAAACCTGTGGCCATCCTGGAGGGCCTCCCAGAGAAGAGCCGGCTTTGAAGGGAAAATTTGCCACATGAAGAAGGACAAAGACATTGCAGGCAGAATACAGCAAGTGCAGTGGCCAAAGCAGTGTGGGAGAGTACGAAGGGGGGGGATGGTGGAATGTTCGAAGGGGTTCAAATGGATGGGAAGACAGCGGGTCACAAAGGTCACCTGGAACTAGCATTGGAACATCTCAAAGAATGAACTTGACCCTGAAAACTCTGTGTGTATGTCTGGAGAAAGGCACCAGAGGGTTTTAATAAGCGGTGTTACAGACAGGTTTCTGCTTTAGAGGATCCCCCTGGATACGGTATCTCTAGAGGGTGGAAACACAGAGGAACAATGGATTTAGCACAAATAGCAAAAAGGCCAAGGTATCGTGGCTGTCTTCTGCCTGCAGACACAGCATTCTTTCCTTCCCTTTTGTGAAACAGTCATGATAGCTGAGTGGGACTCACCTCATCCCCAGTGGGGAGAGGAGGCTTACCCCAATCAGGGAACTTCTCTGCCTCTTGCCCTGAGTGCTGGCTCAGGGCCAGTCTAAGCACAGCCAAGCTGGTGAGCTCTGTTTCATGGTGTGGGATGCCCTGATATCTCCCTCTGGAGCCAGTGAGGAAGCCACGAAGCCTTGACAGTTGTAGGCAGCCATCTTGCAACCATGAGGGAAGCCGGAGTTGAACACGGCTGATACAAAGAGGAGTGCGGAGAGAATCACAGAGTAACTAAGCTACACCGGGACTCCCCTCAAACCTGACCTTCCCCTCTACTCTTCAAATAAAATATGCAAGCCAATTAATTTCTTCCACTGTTTAGGCTAGTCTGAGATTTTCTGTTACTTGTTACCAGAAGCACCTGACCTCACATTTGGCAAGAGATGATGGGGATGAATTAGAACAAAGAGGAGGATGAGGGTGCCATCTCATGGGGCAAGTCAGATTTTCCTAGTAATCTCTAGGTGCCAGCAGCTAAAAACACTATGCCAGTAGTCTTCAAACTCTAGCGTGCATTGGAATCATCTGGAGAACTTGCTAAAACAAAGGTCACTGGACCCCACCCCAGGCCTGGGGTAGGATCCAAAAATCTACGTTTCCAACCAACAGCGGGGCGGGGGGGGGGGGTGCGCAGGGCTGTTGCTGGTCCCCTGACCACACTTTGAAAACCACTGCTCTATAGAAATGTGCAAAAGGGCAAGAAGCCTGGACCTTGAGGCCACATCTCTCCTCCCCCTAGCAAAAACTAATATAAGA